TACCCAGGGTATATATATATATTATTTCATCAACAGGGCCACCCATCCGTCCCGACGAACGCAGCCTCCTTAGGGCCCGTCCTCCTCGCCGTTCTTCTTCGCCTCCTCCGCCGCCCTCTTTCTCGCAAGGTACCTCTCCTTGGCGCTCGAGATGTCGGCCGCCGTCTTGCGCGTCTTGCTGGCCAGCTCGACCTTGGCTGTCTCCTCATGCGCCTCCTGCCGCGACCGCTTGAGCGACTCCTCCAACTGCGCCTCGAGCAACCTGCTCTGGCGCTCGCGCATCGCCTGCTTCCCGCCCCCGGCATACACCCCTTTCCCTTGGGCCCCACCGGCCCCGCTCCGCGACGCGGCGGCCTGCCGCTCCCGCTCCCGCTCCTGCTGCACCTCGGCCTTCTTCTTGCTCCCCACGTTCAGCCCGCCCTTGAGCAGCTGCCGCTTGTCCACCACCTCCCCGTCCTCGTTGACCACCACCTTCCCACCACGCGCGTTGATCTCCTTTGCCCGTTCCGCCGCGGTCTTCTCTCCTCCATCCCCTCCACCACCATTCTCCTTCCCCTTGGCCTTCACCCCCTCCTCCGCGGCCTTCACCAGCGCGGCATGCTCCTTTTCCCCGCGCTCCAGCACGCCTTGATAAAACCGCGCCATCCCCCTCCCCGCATCCCTCTTCCGCTCCTCCTCCTCCCGCCGCTCCTCCTCCTCCTGCAGCCGCTTGTTCTCCTCCTGCTGCCGCCGGTATGCGTCCGTCACGAACCGCTCCTTGTCCGCGAACGCGTCGCCCTCGGCCTCCCGCTCCCGCTGCAGCCGCCGCTCCTCGGCCACCTGCCGGTCGCGCTCGCGCACGTCGGCTGCGTTGAGGAGCGCCGAGAAGTACCGGGGTTTCTTGGCGCCTCCGATTCCGTCTTCATCCGAGGGCCCGGCGGCGGCGGCGACCTTGGCGGCTTTGAAGGAGTCGTAGGCGGCGTCGTAGTCGTAGATGGAGGGGTCGGCGGCGGCGGCGGAGGCGGCGTGCTTGCGCGAGGTGAGGGCGCTGGAGAGGTCGGTGAAGGGGTTGGCTGGGTTGGGGGTTGTTGATGACGAGGCGGAGGACGGTTGTGGGGGGTGTGGTTTGGAGGAGGGGGGGAGGCCGCCGCCGGGTTTGAGGGGGGGTTTCTTGGTCGGCTTTTTCCTCGCTTCCGGGGCGGCTGTGGATGCTGCGCTGCCGAAGAGGTTGAGCTCGGATACCTGGGCGACGTTGGATGGCGTGGACTCGTCCCCTGACCCGTCGTCGTCGCCCCCACCAAAGGGCGCTGGTTTGCGCAGGCCAGGCGCCGGTTTTGCCGGGCCAGCCTTTTTGAGGCCAAAGGAGAACCCTGGCTTGCTCATTGTGAGAGATAAGGGAAGTGTCGGGAAAACGGGAAGCTAGTGGTTGATGATGTCGCGGCGCGGGACAGAGTCGTGTCGCAAACATGGAGGCCATCCGCGGATTTAAGTGGGCCATGTCACCAGCCACAGCTTCTTATCGCGAAAGATAAGCGCATCCCGGCAGGCAAGGAGGATCCATGCAGAGCTTGGCAGCAACCCTTCGAGCTCATCTTGTCCTCGATCACCTCTCGCGTCTTCACCAAGCAAGACTCATCACAGGATGATTCTATCTAAGCTATCTAGGGCTACCTACTGCCATGTCGGACATACCATCAATCCTCCTGCAAACCGCGTCCTCCTCACAAAACCCGAAAGACAGACCATACATGAGTCCTATGCTTGCCATGCTGCCACCCTCCGCAAAAAGAATGTCACTCTCCCGAAACCGCCCAAACTCACACGCTCCCCGCTAAACACTGAATTAACAATGGAACCTCTTCCACCCCCCGATGGACAATGACCTCCCCAACAACCCTCCGGTCCTCCTCCTCCTCCAACTACCTAGGTAAACTTGACATCCACCTGAACCAACAACGCCCCCTCCGTCTCCACGCCCTCCCGATCAATCAGATGCATGAACCTAGTCCCGCGGCGGAGCCGGTCGACGCGCACGCACGCCCACAGCGCGAGCGAGTTGGGCCCGAACTCGTCGTTCTTGACCTGGAAGCGCACGAACGACAACTCGGGCACAACGCCTGGCACCGCCTGGAAGCGCAGCTCCTCGCCCTTGAAGTCCGGGTCGCACCCCTTGCGCGCCTTGGTCTGCCGCTTGTACTCGCCCTTCTTGTCGCGGGGATCCGCGGCAAGGGGGGCGGGAGAGGGGGAGGGAGAGGAGGGGGCCGTACCGTGGCGCTCGCCGGGCTTTTCGGTGTGGACTTCGACTTTGACGTACGGGCGGAAGGAGGTGGCGGCGTCGCCCGGCGGCGGGGTCAGGTATTGCGCGGCCAGGACTTTGATGGACAGGTCCATTGTGTAGCACTTGACGGGGGGCGCGTCGGCGGGGGTGCTGCGGTAGCCTGCGGCATCCCACGTCAGTATCTGAGTGGTTTTTTTTTGTTGTGGGGGGGGGGGGGGGGGGCGTTTGAGGAGTCAATACCTTCAGGCTTCAGCACGTAGCCGCCGGTGGTGGCAAACATGCCCTCGTTCAACATCATGCCCTCGTCCCAGTTTTGCCAGTTGAGCGCCACGATCTGGACTCCCTTGCGCCACATGCTGATCGGGTCGAAGTTGGACGAGTCGATGCGAATGCCGCCCGGGTAGGTGCGCATCATGTAGTGGCGGTTGTGCTTGAACAGATCCCCGGCGCTCTTCTTGTGAACGTCCTCCACCGTCGGCTGCTTCAGGGAGAACACGTGCGTCGGCCACTTCGCCTCAGCTTGCTCCAGATTGTTGAAGGAGACGCCGCGCGTGTAGATGCCCAACTTGCTCAGCCCGTGGATGATCTTTGAGTTGCTCTTGGGGGCGCCCGCGTCGCCCGCCGGCGAGGGAGACGGTGTCGTCTCGGCCTTTTTGGGCGCCGGGGGCGGGGTGTACTTGACCTTTACGATGATCTTGCGGCGCAGCTCGGCGGGGTTCGGGAGGTGGGCGATATCCCCCTTGGGCTCGGGCAGCAGGAACTCGCCCCACGTCTCCTTGATGATGGTCACCATGGTCTCTTGCTGTTCCTGTTCGCAGTGGACCTCCAGGCTGATGATCAGCGGCGTGTCGGCCACGACGAAGGCATTCTCCTTGATAACGCGGCACACTTCCCGGAACAAGACCCTGGTGGTGAGGGTGCGCCCATGGACGACGACCGGTTCCTTGGGGCTAACAGGCTTCTTCAGTTGGCTATCAGGGGCCGCCACAGGTGCCGGTGTGGTTGCGGTTGCGGTTGCGGGTGCGGTTCTCTTCTTGGGGGGTCGGGCGCCCTCGTCGTCGCTGCTGTCGCTAGTGTCGCTCTCCTCATCAGAATCCTTGCCATCCCATACGTCGATCTCAACGCAGCGGCAGCCACGCAGCAGGACGTTGTAGTAGGCCTCGACGCTGCTGTCGCTGGACAGCTGGTTGCCCGTCAGGTACGTGTTGTGGCTGGAGCTGATGAAGTAGTTGGAGAGGGGCCAGGAGAGGTCCTCCTCCTTGGGCGCAGCGACGGCGTGGGTCGTGGACGAGGACATGTACTTCAGGAAGGCGGCCAGATCCCAGGGCTTGCCGTCAGCCAGGTGCAGTGCGCGCTCCCCATCCGTGTCGTGCTGCTCGTCCCTGAGGAACGCGGCGACCTTCTCCGGGCTCCAGGTGCCATCAGTCCCGACATGGGATTTGTAGATCTGCTGCAGGTTGCCGAGGACGGCCTCGTTGAAGGTCCTGATCCCGTGTAGCTTTCCGGACACCCCACCGCCTGCCTGATGGCTGTCATTGGGGGGCGGGGGCGGGCCGCCAATCACCAACGTGGTCGCCGCTGCCATGGTGGTTTGGCTTGCTGGGCGGGCTCGTTGTGTGCGTGTTGTTGGGCGGGTAGACGGGGTGGTTGGAGGCTGGCTGCCGGGAGAGGTCAGCAGCGAGCGAACAAGACCTCCCGAGGGTGGGGAATCAGGCGCGTTATATGGAGTCAAGGGAGCAGACGAGCAGACGGGGAACTCGAAGCTCAGCTTCCGCCACCCCTTTTCGTTGCTGGTCAGCAAATGAATGTCAGGTCGAGGGCCACGTCGGCCACGTCAGGTCAAGTCAGGCCTTCAAGCCACCCCTCCAAGAAGCGCGGTGTGTCAAGCGCAGCTGAGGGGGATGGAGACGTGTGTGCCTTGGGGGTTCCATACCAAGACCCCGCCAGCCAGCTGATCAGCCAAACCAGTCCTGTAATTCCAGCACCAAGAACCCCGCCAGAGCCCTGTGGCAGGGGTTTCATGGCCGTCCCCCTGGGCCAGAGCTTCCCCCCCCCCCCCACCTCGGCGTGGGGCAGTGTTCCCCTCCCTCCCCCTCACCGTCCCCCGCTGCTGGGCCAGGACCCCGCGTGCCGTTCCGCCGGGTTGCGGATGCTTGCCGCCGCCAGCCAGGTAACTGGGCTGGCCTCCTTCTGGCCTTGTTCGACGGCCTGAGGGGAGCTCGCGCTTAAGTGCATATGCACACCAACCTTCGTCTTGTATATCTGCCCCCGAGCTGCACACATCTGCCCTTCGGCGGTCTCCACGGCGCATCCTGCCCTGTCATTGACAGCCGCCGGCTCTCAGCCTGGATCTGCAGCCTCGCCGATGACCGTCTCTGAAACGAGCACAGCCAACTGCTGGGTTCCCTCCATGCATGTTTAAAGAAAATACCTAAGCTGTTGGGGGGATGGGGACTGGACCGAAAGAAGACGGTGTTGAGACCCTGGCCGGCGACCTGGCGGACGGAAAGGCGAATTACCTCCCACTTAAGAACGAGTGCCGCAACGTCGATGGGACGAACTCGATGTGTCCCCATAGAAGAAGGGCAGTGGTGGAGAAAAAGAAAAGAAACTTGGCTTTCCAGGAAAATAACTTGGGTATCTGGTTGTTTGCAAGAAACAAAGCAGGGGAAATAAAAAACAAACAAACGGATAAACGACTCGACAACAACGCGTTGTTGGGGAACAACCAAAAGATAACAGCTGACAAGGACGAGATTCGAACTCGCGCGGTTTCCCACCAGAGAGATTCAAGGACCAGGGTCCCCTAAATCTGGCGCCTTAACCACTCGGCCACCTTGCCAATGAGGATTTAATATAGTGTGATTCACTATAATCAAGACACCCATCAGTACATAAGGGAAAATCTGATTGCACGTTAACACCCTACATGAATTGTCAAGCCCAGCCGCATTTTTAGGTCGATTGCTTGCTTCTGGTTTAGAAGCCAGCAGCATGAAATGACCAGGTCTAACCTGCGTTCGCTTTGAATGGAGGCCAGTGGGCATCGGGCACGGGGCGTAGGCGTGGTTTCATCGCCAGAGCAACCGCGGCGATGCCCCTGATCTTAAGCGTCTCAAAGTTTAGCAGTTGGTTGTTGGTCCCAACTGTGCATACGCCTAGAACAACATCTGCATCTACCAGCGGCTGGCATGATTGCTGGGCGCTTCCCATCCGCATGCCAAACATGTTGGCAATCCTTTCCCAGCAAGTCTGCTGCAACCTCCAGGGGCAGCCCCAGCGCTTGCCATCTCCAGCATCAGCCGTCGGGTCGCCTGTGAAGGCCAACAGATGAACCATGTCTTCTGAGAGGGAGGGAGTAGATGAGCAGGTCCAGCATAGCGTTGAACTTAATAATGGAACAACGAACTGTATAAAGAGACTGCCTCCCATCGTCGTTTCTGCCTCCACATTGAGTTCTCCCATCATCATTGCTACTTCCCTCATCGCCGCTTTCTTCGGTCACTGTTTCCTTCCCTCGGTCATCTTTTCGCATTGATTTCTTCTCCAACCATTTCGGTTTACTCTGTCGTTTCCTTCCGCCACTGCAGTCCTTCCTCTGTCACCGCAGCTCTCCCTCGTTGCCACAGCCCTCGTTGCCACAGCCCTCGTCGCCGCAGCCTTCTCCCCGCCGCGTTCTTCCACCACCGCCGCCGCTACCGTCATCTGCCACGACCTTGGGCCCCATAATCAGCGCCCAGCGCGGTACCTATCCCCCGGCAGTGCCAGTCCACATGATCAACAAAATATCGACACTTCAAAGAAAAAGGGGAAGGGGTGGGGGAAGGGGAAGGTGTGGGGGAAGGGGAAGGGATGAAACTGACTTGTCATCGCCTCGGGCACTTCAGGCTCACCCCCGCGCGCATAGAGCGCGACATACAGGGCGGTCCTTGTTTGCTGGCATGACGACGGTAGCGACGGCGGATTCCCGGAGGCGAAGCCAAGTCAGTTTCACCCCTTCCCCTTCCCCCACCCCTTCCCCTTTTTCTTTGAACTGTCGGTATTTTGTTGATCATGTGGACTGGCACTGCCGGGGGACAGGTACCGCTGGCCGCTGATCACGGAGCCCAAGGTCGTGGCAGAGGACTCGGTGGGCCAGCGCATGCACGCGAAGCAGACGACCTTCCCGGCGCCGGGCGCCGCGCAGTGGTACTTCGACAACGGCGAGATCGGCATGGGCCAGACGGCCATGATCCTCGTCCGCATTGTGGTGGCTAAGATCGTGGACATGGGCCGCGTCACGCCCATCCTGGAGAGGGTGCCGATCCGCGAGGGCCAACCGGGCTGGAACTGCGTCGCCTGGGTCAGAGAGGCCCTCGACATGCTGACCAGGGACGGCAAGGCGCTCGGAACGCACAAGACGGACTGGAGGACGGTTCGGAACGCGGCCATGGGCTGGCTATGCGGCGAGAAAGATGGCGCAGCATCGGTTCTGACGGAACGCTGCCCGGGTGGTTCGATATGATGAAAGTGGCGACGTATGACCTGTTGAAGAACAAAGAGATCTTTGAATGATTGTGCAGGGTCTGGGGTTTAGTTGTGAGAATATTTCCCCTGCAGGTTGGGGGATGAAGAGGATGCTGGGGGTTGCATATCGTGAGGAATAGTACTTGTACAACAGTTTACTTAATAGTCCCAATGGTACTTCCGTCGGACAATCTCCACCTCGAGCGCGTGAGGGAAAGGCGTGAGAAACTTTCCGCCTTCTTCCTGCCAGAAGGGGTTGTACGGATTGACATGCCAGGTTGATATATACTCCCAATATGGAGGCATCCACCCGGCAGTCTCCCAGGCAACGATGCCAACAACCTCGTCCCCTCGAGCCATGATGTTCAGGCTGCTCAGGTCGCCATGTGTGAAAACGGGTGTGGGCCAGGGTTGAAGCTGGAAGTCAAACAGCTTGCGAGCCCTGGGAATTTTGAAAGACGGTCTTTGCAGTATGCGTTGGGGTCTTGGTTGAACCGGAGTTCGTTGTGAAAGGCGCTTATTGTCGGGAACGGGCCCCAGAAGTTCTTACCCGGGAGGGATTGGTCAAAAACAGGCACCCCGTGGCGTTGGCCACCCCGACGCCATCCGGCGGCGCGAGGCCTCTGAGCTGCTCCATCATCCCCTTAAGCTAGCTCAAGATCCGGGGCTTGGACCTGTCTGACCGCAGGACCCAGTCGCACACCAGCGACTCGCCGTCGACCCGCTCCATGAGGACGTAGCCGCGCCCCTTGTGCTCAAGGCGGCGTACACCTTGGGCACGGGGATGGTCGTGTTCTCCGCGACGAAGCGCATGGCGTGCGCCTCGGCGAGCCGGGTGAACCCGGCCGCCTTGATGCAGAGCTTCGGCGAGATGAAGAGGACGGGCCCAGAGCCCCTGCGCCAGCGCCGAAGCCACCTGTGGCCGAGGACCCTGTGCGCGAGCAGGACGCCGAGTTTGGTGAAGCGTCCTGCGTTGATGGGCGCGGGGCCTGCTGGGTCGGTGGCCATTTCTTGCGTGGCGCGCGGTCAGACGCCCACTGGTGGGGTGGGTTATGAGAGCGGCGGCATGAGATGGGATGGGATATCAAGTGGGTGATGGTGTTGCTGTCAGGAGACTGTCTTGAACTGGGGGTGTTGGTCGATGAGAGTCGACGTGGCAAGAAAAGTGGGGCGGCAGCCACACCAGGGCAACCTCCTCCCAACAACAGCGCTTCGAGCTTGAAAGCAGAGGGGCACTGTGTCCGAATTTGTCCAGTTTCGCAGGGCGATTCCAAAAGAGGACTTTCCTGAAATGTACGGAGCACTTGAACAAGAGACGGAAACAAGTCAGTCTGTTACATGGCACAAGAGTTTACCACACCTTATCCCTCTGCCTGATCCCTCTGCCTGATCCCCCTATATTCCCGTGAAACGATTAAACGAGCAGCAAACCTAGTAACAGCGAACACCGTCCAACTCCGATCCCGGCTCTCCCAACCCCCAGCAGGCTAATACTGCCAAAGCGCCTTGTGATATATGACCCTCCCCCCAAGCATCTTATACTCGAACCCCGTGATCCACGAGTCGTTCGTGGGCAGCTTGGCGAACACGCTCGCGCCCTTCCACACAACCACCTGCTCGTCCATCTCCCTGGCGCTCCTGCTGACGAGGATCCGGTCCGCCAGGTCCGGCCGCCTGCCGCGGAGGCGCTCCTCGAGGAACGTGGCAAAGTGGGGGATCTTGGCGCCGCCGCCGACCACCATGATGCTGCCGAGCAGCTCGCGCACCTTCTTGTCGTCGCCCTTGGCTGCGTTCTGGATCGACGTCATGATGGCGATGTCGAGCGGCGCCAGCGGGAGCACCGAGTCGCGCTCGACGGCCAGGTCCTTGGCCGTGCGCTGGTGCACCTGCGCCTGCGCCTGCGAGGGCCCGCCGTCGAAGGAGGTCCCCGGGATGGTCGAGGTGCCGTTTGGCGGTGCGGGCGTGCCGCCGTTGCGGACGCTCGGGGCCGGGCTGCCGCCGTTGAGGTCGCGCGAGGAGCCGAAGATGTAGGGAGCCGGTACAGGCGTGCTGGCACCCTCGGGGGCAGGCGAGGGGGCTTTCGAGGTGCCCGGGGTGCCGTTGGCGTCGCCGTTGCGGGAGAGGAAGCTGAATGGTTGGGTGCGTTCCTTTCCGGGGGTAGCCATGTCACCTGGCCCGCCAGCGAAGCTAGTTGTTGTTGTGGTGGTTGCTGTGACGGAGGGCTGGATGAGGGCAAGGATCGCGAGCTGGGCGGCAGAGGTCGGGTCGTCGGGCCCATCCACGTCGTAGGCATTATATGAGCGGTCGATGAGCTTCCGGCGGCCGCGGAGCTTGGTGGAGTTGTCGAATATTGACGGGTCGTAGAAGCCCATGGCCGAGAGGATAACCTCGTCGTAAAACTTGAACTGGTACTTGCGCGTCGGCTGGTTCGGGGCACGAAGGTGAAAGTCGAAATTCTGGACCGAGATGTTTGCCTGTGAGAGGGTGCAGTACTTGATCTTAAGCTCCTCGGCCAACAAAAAGTCGTAGCGCCGGCGGAGGTTGAGATCCTGATACGGGAAGTTGTCGTAGAGCATCATCTTCATGAAGGTCTCGGTGACGTCGAAACCGCCGAATTTGAGGTTGATTCTCGAATCCTCGATGCAGAGTCCGTCTTCGACACACGAGATGGCCGTCTTTTGGGCCCCAACGTCCACCACACACGCCTGCGTGTACCCAGCGCCAAAGGTCGCAGCCATGCCCTCCTGGATAAACGAGACGCGGCCAAATTCGAACAACTCGATGCAGAGATGGAGGAGCAGCTCGACATAGCGCTTGTCGTACAGATCCGGGATGATCAAGACGCAGCTGTACTGTTTCCAGTCGGCCTTCCGCTTGAGCCCCAGCTCCCAGCGAAAGGTCCGATCCAGCAGGGTCTCGAGATCGTTGAACAGGTGCGCCCTGGTGGGGTAGTCGTCCTCGTTCAGCCAGCCATGCTGGATGGGCCACCACAGTTTGTATTTGGGGTCCGAGTCGTCCGGGACACGCAGGGCTTGGTTGCCGATAAAGACGGACGACGTCGACTCGGTCTCCTGGGGAGCGGTGACATCGGTCCACTCGATCTGCAGGGGGTCGTTGTGCTGCGAGATGATCTCGGGCTCGGTGCGGCGGTTGAAGTTGACGACGAGGTCCTTGGAGTTGGGCAGCACCTTGCGCTTGTTGGCGCGCATGTCGACCTTCAGGTCGTTGCTCATCTTCTGGTACTTCTTGGACCACTCCTCGCCGTGCTGCTGATCCATGGTCCGGCCCTCGAACTGGCGGCGCGGCAGGGCGTCGTACATCTCGGACTCGGTCTGG